ATAACCCGAGCGCTTTCGAAAGGGTCCCCGCTGGGACAGCGGTGAGTCTGCGGATTTACAATGCTAAAATTAGGGGCTCGATTCCCCTCGGTGGACACAGCAGATAGCGCTCTGTTTATAGGGTTTTTATTCATTCTTGTTATATATTTTTAGTGTCAGTTTTGATCGTATTCTCTTTCGAGCTACACGTTAAACGGTTATTTTGTGACTGTTATTGTATAAATATTGAAGGTTTCGTAACAGATGGCGCTGAAGAACCTACGAAATTTGGTTGACACAAGGTAATCAATCTTTAAAGAATATTTCGATACTCGTCGTGGCCACAGCACAGATAGGCCATTGTGTAACTTTGTGCTTAACAATAAACAAGTAAAAATATTATAATATATAGCAGCGTAACCTTTAATTTTGTAGTGGTTTTGACTAAAAGATTTCTCTCGTGTTAGATTATCATGCTTGAAATATTGCAGGTAATAAAAACGACAAAATCCTGTCCTAAGAGGATTGCTTGTTGATCGACATATCAACGCATACTAGTCTAACTGACAGGTTGATTGTGTTTCTTCTGTCATTGTACCATGGACCAATTCTGATTATGGTTAAGACTTACTTTTTACACGTGTGTACACACGTGTGAAATAACCGTCAACTGACGGGGAATGTTTAAACATTAAAACAATGTAAGTTTAACAGCAATCTTATATTTCAAAATAATAACTTGAACACAAACTTTATCTCAAAATCTTAAAATTATAACAAAGCTTCTTCATAAAAAAAAAAAAAAACAACTTGCAGTTTTCTTTCCACCTACCAACAAATAAATATTTTGAGGTGACCCAACCCTTGAAACATCTGACTGACCGTGAGAAAAGCATGGTTGTTTGAGAAAAAGTCCAGCAACTTTCATACTTTGACCTTGAATCCATTTAGAATATTCAACATTGTCTGGAGCGTCAACCTGCCAAGATTGTTTGAGATTGACTCAATAGTCCGAGAGTAATTAACCAACAGGCTTTCCAAAATAGAATTAGGGTTAAGCTCAATTTTGACCCCTTTGGGACATTCCTTTTAGTTCATAGTGTTTGCATATAAATTTTGGTTGAGATTGGCCCAATAGGCTCGGAGGAGTTAGGGTACAAACAAACATACATTTCGTTTTTATATATATATACATATAACTAGTGTTTTCTTATATATATATATATATATACATTGTTGTCTTTGTTTCCTGTGTATGATATTTCATATTGTTATAATAAAGCAATAATATTAGCCTCGGACGTCTTGTTTTGTACTGTATAAAAATATTTCAAGTTTGGTTGCTTGGTTACTGAATTTTATATATTTTCATATTTACTCATGTTTTTTCCTCAATTCTGTAATTATGTAACTTTTTAAATTTGAATATCCTTAGTTCAACTAACCGAAATAACCAAAAAAAAATGGTCAGTTATTTTACCAACGAAGTCACGAAACATTTACATATTTTTTTTTTTTATTCCATTGAATAATTATATGTATTACCTCTTATCGATACCATAATGATTTCCACCCTAAACCATGTATTTGTAAAGACGTTTGTTTAATTTATAAGTCATCTTGTAAATTTATATTTCAAAGAAAGTGTGTTAACTCTTTCAATGCAATGGGTACACATTTGTGCACTTAAGGGCACTGTTATGTAAGTTTGGTATTTTTTTTTTACCACCATGAAGAAAGGCTATTTTTCCTTCACACTTTCCAAAATTTACCAGTTTCAAATTTCAGGTAGTTAAAATTAATAATTCTGCGTATCGGTATCTCCTGATTTTGTAAAATAAACACTTGGATTTCATGTAAATCACTCAGTTTATTTGTGTTCAAGAAAAAGGTTCATAATGCATTGAACATTCCACCTCCCTCCCCCCCGATACTTTTGTATACGCCTTTGGGCACTGCTGTTACTTAGAGCGATATCGCCTTTCGTAATATCGTATAATCTAATGTGTACGTGTGGCTCATGATATGCGCAATCTGTGTGCTGTTAAGAAATACTGGAGTAAAATATCAATATGAAACCCACACGAAATTGTGTATAGACAAGCCAAACGTACCGGGTTTGATTACAGAACCATGTACGTGAAACGAAGAATGTGGTTGTGACATGTTTAATTTTCTGTGGTTGAAACGCCTTTAGTTCGTATACATTACGTTTTGTTTAGTTTTCTTCTAAGTATCTTAAGGATCGCGACATGAGGAGAACAAGATCTGGATTATCATTCTGACCTTGGGTGACCTCCAGCAATATCGGAACAAATCCAATAATATCGCATGTGACCTATGAAAGCAAATCTTGTTATAAGCTCTGAAGATTGAATGTTCGCTAAAACAAAAACAAAAACCTGGAATCATTAAAAGTCAAGATATACAGAAATAAACAGGCAACAAATAGCTGGCTGAGTTTTAAATTTCAGAAAAATCGGGGCAAATGCCTCGTGAAGGCCCTGGTGGTTCGTGGGCGAAGTATAAACTAGCTTACCATATAGTTTGACAAACTACCACGTCTGGGTGTAGCCTAATGGTTAGCGTGCTGTGACTACGAATCCGAAGGTTCAATGTTCGCGGTCCGTTGCCATAAAACGTGCAATAAAAGTAACAGTCAAAATCATAAGTTGAAGGTGGGTTATTGTTAACTAGCTGCCTTCCCTCTTGTTTATTAGACACAAATCAGGGGTGACTATGCGCAGCTAGCCTTTTTTTGTGTAAAACTGCCTGAAAATCCTGAAAAAAGTAAACAAACAAACGAAATCCTAACTTTGGTAGTTGCTAGATACGTATTTGTTGTGTCTTCTCCAGCACTTCAAGGACTAGATACGTAGCTCTTGTGTCCTCCCCAGCACTTCAAGAACTAGATTCGTAGCTCTTGTGTCCTCCCCAGCACTTCAAAACTAGATACGTATCTGTTGTGTCCTCCACAGCACTTCAAAACTAGATAGGTATCTGTTGTGTCCTCCACAACACTTCAAAACTAGATTCGTAGCTCTTGTGTCCTCCACAACACTTCAAAACTAGATACGTATTTATTGTGTCCTCCCCAGCCCTTCAAAACTAGATACGTATTTGTTGTGTCCTCCACAACACTTCAAAACTAGATACGTATTTATTGTGTCCTCCCCAACACTGCAAAACTAGATACATATTTGTTGTGTCCTCCACAACAATTCAAAACTAGATACGTATTTATTGTGTCCTCCCCAACACTTCAAAACTAGATACGTATTTGTTGTGTCCTCCACAACACTTCAAAACTATTCGTATCTCTTGTGTCCTCCCCAGCACTTCAAGAACTAGATTCGTAGCTCTTGTGTCCTCCCAACACTTCAAAACTAGATACGTATTTGATATGTCTTCCCCAGCGCATCGGAACTAGAACGTATTTTATATGTCTTCCCCAGCGCTTGAGAACTATATGTTTTTGTATACAAAACATGAAGAAGGCTCACGAAAGGACTGATATAAAAAACAATACTGTTAACAATTAAGTCAGTGTTCACTAGATTAAAGATACACATTGTAATTTTTAAACCGATTAGATCATAATACTCCGTTAATCTTTTGGTGTTAATTGTGTCTGTTTGTTAATATCATGCCCTATGAACTTAAAAACTACTGGTCAGTTTTTGGCAATGGATACGTTTTAACCTTGTATGGCCAAGCGCCATATTACTACAACTCTGTTCTTTAAACCAGTCTTGAGCCGGAAGTATAGCCTCGTGGTTAGCATGCTGAGCTGAAAATCGAAAGGTCCAAGATTCGAGCCGCGATACTGCTGAATACGCTCTGCATTTTCAGCTGAGAGTGCGTTATAAGAACAACAGTAAACCCCGTCATTTGGTTCGAAGAGTGGTGGCGGGTG